GTTAGGGTTGGGGACCTAATCCAATATAGCAGGTACATGTCCGGTGTAATACGTGAGTACCATTTGTTGTTTTTCCTTTTTGCATTTTAATACTTTTTTTTCACACAAAAACGGGAAACCAAAAACGTCGAAAGTAAATTATGAAATGGTTTAATGTAGAAATTTTGGGCTTATGGAAATTGGTTCTGGAATTTGCGCTCAAGCCTCTTTCACACGCAACATAAATTTTGTAAACTCACCCGAGTGCCGTCACTACACATGCTTATGTCTCCCTCGTTCTTTAGTGCGATCCACACTATCCTTACAGTGTTCCCTACATCCCTTTTCTGTCAAAAATCACCGATTTATATAAAAGCGCGTCATTCATGCATGCACTGTGAAATCTACGTCTGACGCCTGACGTCAACAACCCTTTTCAGTTTGAGGCATATCGGCTCATTCCACGCCACACGCTAATTTGTAGATTACGGAATGGGACGAGTGTGCCAAATGGTATCGGATCCATTCGGCAATTGTCCGGAGAATAAAATCACGAGACACCAAGTCTACCCGTAGCATTTTGTAATTGTCCGTGACCTATTCGACTCTTTCGGTTCATTTCCGTGACGTCACAGGAATGACTCGATAATTTTGCACATTGCGCAACAGTGTGGACGTAGCTCAGTCGGGTTCGCGTCCGACGGGTTCTCACAAACTGGTTGCTTGTCTCAAGGACACGTGACCTACGGCAGAGATCGTCCTCACGAGAAGTTGTGGTGCTGTATTCTAAAGGTCAAAATGCAAACAAATTCCATCCATTAGGTTTGGAGATATCCAAGAATACTCGCTGTGACCTTGAAAATAATCCGAAGGTCACTGAATTCGACTGGCGTTAGACGATACTCCCAACGCATCTTGGTACTACCATTAATCAAAACATATTAATTCTGTCTTGTATTTTCGCACTAAAAAGTTAGACATGTGCAAAACACTTTTCACTGTGAACTTAAAATGAGCACAAGTTTCCCAATCAATTGGTGTAGGGGGAATCCCGCCAATACACCTTGATGTAAAATTGGATCAAAATCTATTAATACTTTCCTGAGTTCGCGGCTACCAAGCTTGGCATGTGCAAAACTGTTACACCTTCGCTGTGACCTTTAAAATGACCTCAAGGTCACAGATTTCAAGTGGTGTCGGTAAATCTTCAATCTCCAGTCAATAAACCTTGGTACCAAATTTGAACAAAATCCATCATTTCTTTCTCGAGTTCTTTCAGTAAACCGAATGGGGACTCATTTGAACAAGCGATTGTAGTTTCAAATTGCTTTTTAGTGCAGTTTAATATCTAAGTTCTAAGTATCTAGTATCCAATCTCAAACATAGCATATTTTGTTTCCTGAAGTCTGAGATGCATTTTATTGCAGATTTTACGTTTTATGGGAGTACCAAGCCAAGATACAAAGTCTCACAAAATGGGGATCGTGAGGCTGCAACATAGCAAAACCAATTTGCTTGAGGCTGACAGATAGTATGTAGAAAAATAAAACATAAAAACAGCTGCATTTGTATCATATTCTAGGTTAGGCTGACTACTATTTGAACGCCCCTCGTAGTTATACCCGTTAGAACACCCACCCACCTCTCCGACTCTACATGCATGCAAGTGTGTTAGATATACCCGTTAGAAACCCACCCCCACTTTATATGTATACATATCAAAACCTCAAAAGATATTTGCGAAAAGACATGATACAGAGGACAGTTTATATTGATTATATATCAGGACGAATATCATTTTCGTCATTTAGCTAAGATCTGTCAATTCATTCTTCGGTTATCGCGCTAACAATCTTTATATTGGCAAAACCCTCAGATTTTTGCTGTGACCTTGAAAATTATCTCAAGGTCACTCCATTTCACTTGTGTCGGTGAATCTCACCAATATATCTTGGTACCAAATTTGAACAAAATCCACCATTTCTTTCTTGAGTTATCGCCCTAACAAGCTTATTTGATGTACGAAATGCAACGAAAAACAAACACCCGCGTATTTACGAGTGATTAAAACTGTTATTACAACTTACGGAAATATTTATTACATTTTATAGCAACGAAAAGTATTACAATTTACGTCAATTTTTATTACAATTTGCGTATTACAATTTACGTCAATTTATATTACAATTTACGTTTTTATTACAATTTACGTCAAGTTTATTACAATTTGCTGCAAGTATTACAATTTGCGTTTTTATTACAATTTACGTCGTAACAAGGGGTGTTATTTTAGTGTTGTTTTCATGGCTTACGGTTAGGTATGACTCACGACACATTGTCACAAGTATATTGAACGTTTCCTTTAAAAACTTCCATTAAAAGTTTTCCCCCAGTATTTTCGACAACAGACTACCCCTCCCCACCCCGACTAGGAGACAGCCTTCCCCCTGTGTCTAAACACAAAGCAAATACTCATTTGTGTCAAAGACCGAATAGACGATACATGCTTCTAGTGGGGCGAGGGGTAACCTAGTGGTTTAAGCATTCGTTCGTCGAGGACCCGGGTTCGATTCCCCACATGGGTACAATGTGTAAAGCCCATTTCTGGTATCCCCCGCCGTGATACTGCTGGAATATTGCTAGAAGTGACGTAAAACCAAACTCACTCACTCACATACTTCTAGTTCTGGTCTACTTGAAACGTCGCTGAATTGGCGGATAGATGTAGACAATTACTCCTTCGAAACAGTATAACTCTGTCTTTATAACGCTGTGTTGGGTAAGTTAAAGGTGGCATTTCGCTCCACTGTAGATTCTGTGAAGAATGCACATAGTTAGTTCTTTGCACAGTTAGAGAAAACAACCCAACACATTTGAACAACATATGCAACGAGGGAAATATATACTAGGCTGCAAAAGAAACGTCAGTTTCGAATATTTATTCGCAGAAACGCATAACTGTAAACTCATTTAATGTTTTGATTGTACAGTTTTGACAACATCTCCAACTTTACCTGAGCAAAGACATTCCTTCCCAAACTCAACGTGATCTCGGAGATGGTACGGTGTTCCCCATGTTTTCCATGCAACTCATGCTGCACGTGCTGTTTACAAGGACCAGCCCTATAAAATGCACCCCCTCCCCCACACCTGGATGAAACATTCACATTACCACGTCAGCAGGATGCCGCGACTCACGACAGCTCAGAGGAACCAGGGCCTAGATTTTCGAAGCTCTCTTAGAGCTAAGATAGTCGTAAGTTAATGTTAATGTATGGCACTTACGACTATCTTACCGCTAAGAGAGCTTCGAAAATTTAGTCCCAGGCGCTAGGAAGACTTGAAGCTGGCCCCACTACACAAGCCGTTGCCAATCACTTCCAGGCCAACGTTCGGACGATCTGCAGGCTGCAACACCACAAATGATCGCCCCCAAGGGTGACCACAAGACGACAAGGCCGCCATGTTGTGTGACAGCATGTACAGAATCCCTTCATGCAGGCATCCAAACAGCACGCCAGACAGTGGGAACACACGGAAGACCAATCAGTACTGATACAGTACGCCGACGTCTTAACAGCGGGAACCTCCATCGCCGTAGACCTTACCGTGGACCTATCCTCACCCCTCGTCATCGGCGTGAACGTCGACAGTTTTCCCTACAACATCCAAACTGGCGATACAGGCAGTGGAGAACTGTTCTGTTCACAGATGAGAGTCGGTACTGCGTTTCAAATGCAGATGGCAGAACAAGAATATGGCGACGACGTGGCCAGCGTTACTCAGACCAATGTGTTATGGAAAGAGACTCATGGGGAGGTGCAAGCATCATGGTATGGGGTAGAATAGGTCTGAACCAGAGAGTGGGTCCTGTGGTGTTCCAGAACCTTGGTCCAGGGAGAGGCGGCGGCATCACAGCGGTGCGCTACATCGACCAACCTCTCAGACCCCACGTCATACCTCATTTCGCACGTCAACGGAACGTCATTTTCCAGCATGAAAACGCCCGGGACCATACTGCCAGAGCTACAAGGGACTTCCTACAGCAGAACGGTGTCAACATTATGCAGTGGCCATCCCTTAGTCCTGATTTAAACCCAATTGAACATAGTTGGGATGAAATTCAGTGGAGATTGAATAATGTCATACCAAGGCCGAACACAGCCGATTTATTGCGCCAGGCGTTTCTCAGAGTGTGGTTCCATGTGTCAATGGCCTTCATCAATCGATTGGTTCGCTCCATACATAGACGCTGTGCTGAAGTTATTGCCGCTTGTGGTGGTCACACTAGATACTGAAGTCAAGGGTCTGACTGGACTGCAAACGTTCACGCAATGTCTTGGAATTGTGCTGAGTTACTCATTGATGTGTCAGGATATTGTACACAAACAATATTTTGATCCACTTATGTCCATTTCTGTAATGATTTGATTACAGTGCCTATCTAATTTTGAATTCGTACTGACGTTTTTTTGCTGCTGAGTATATTTACTTAATGAATTCAAACACTTATGTAACACATAAACTGCTTGCCTCCAGATTTTTAAAGATGTTGAAGAGAATACAGTCTTCGTGACGATTATTAATTACGTAATTACACCGTGTTGCGTTTATATTTTCTCTCGTGCGTTGTTATATCGAGGAGTTTTGTCAGTGTTTCCTGTGCAGTTTTACAATTATTATATAAATTTACCTCCTCGCACACTATAATCTAAAACATGTTTGTATATGTATTTTGTTGGTAATGTGTAAGAGGGGTGTGGTAACCAAGTGGTTAAGCATTCGCTCGTCACGCCAAAGACCTTGGTTCGAATCTACAAATGGGTACAATGTGCGAAGCCCATTTCCGGTGTCCCCCGCCGTGATATTGCTGGAATACTGTTAAACGTGTGTATAATGTGAGTCTGGTTGGTTTAATACTCTTGAGTAACAAGTATACATTCTCTTATGTGATGTGATGGTAGTGAAAACAAAAACACTGAATAGGCCTATTTCTTCAGTTAATCTTTATTTCCGTCACCGACAGTTACGTGTGTCAACGTTGCAGGGCCATTCAGTAGTGAAGATACCATGTTCAGTAGCCCGAGAAGCCAGAAATGTGACCGGTTGGGTTGGATGGGTAGGAAGGAGGAAAGTCAGGTGGCTTTTTCTCCTTCAACTTCTGGGTGTCATCATCCGGGCCGTTCGCCCTGCACGCCCTGCACGTGGCAAACGTGGATAACTCGAGAAGCAGCTGCACGAGCTCGAATATACTGAGGACGGACAATCCAACCCAGAGGCCAAGGGTACCTCCAACGTCAGACACGAATTGGGTCAGCTGGACAACACACATAAAAGGTCGGTATGACTGACTGAGTTGGGGTTTGATATAATATTTAAGTTCTTGTTTATGTAACTCGGTTCATGAAGTATTTAGAAGTTGTGGTGCTGACAGAAGAATATTCATTTGGTGGGAGCTCCATCAACAGATTCATTTCCACCTGGCATTAATAAAATACCCCCTACTCATTGACTAATTCCCGCATCATACCTTTCTAAAGCTGGAATAGTGCTGATTGAGGCCTAAATCCATTACCTGTACATACACGCGACCCATTGGTAATTCCGGGACAGAATGCGTTACTTCGTGTGACTGGTAATTGTGGGTGTCGCCATTCACTCACTACTTCAATTAAGCACTAGCAACTAGACCAACTGGACCCGTGGACGTTATTACCATAACATTGTGGTCTGTCTTTCAGAGACATGGGAATACATTTAAACCATGAATTCAATTCTAGCCTACAATGGCATGGTTGAATTCATGTTTCAACTGTTTATATTCAGTAAAATCTCCTTCGTGTGTACCTCATAATCTGGTTCCTCTTTCATCACTTCGTAGTTGAGGTCTTCGTAGAAGATGTTCAGTTTAGCGAAGTTTAAACTTGAAATGAAATTGTGAAAACGAATGAGACTAAGTGACCGCAGTAAGAACATGTTTACAAGGTCAGGATTCCTATTTTCTTAAATACACAGATATGTACCATTGCATACACACGAGCATCAATATAACACCATCTAATTTCAAGGGCAGATGTTATAATTTTGGTACCAAGAGGCTTCACACGATATAATAAAAGCTATAGGTCGTGAACCAGAGTCACCAAGCACATTGGCTTTTGAAACTCTAATTGTGGTATCTTCTAAATTGATTTAAAAGACGCTATGCATTCTTGAAATGGCTAGACGTCGCCAGAAACTACACGATAGCACGTTATTGGCCTGTCACAAAATCGGCGCTAACTTGATCACTAAGTACAAGGTTATTAGTCACGTGACCACCGGTCCAAGACCTTGAAGACCGCGTAGGACCAATGCCCGACTCTCCACTCGTCAGACGCAATCCCATGACTAACGTCGAGGAACTGCGTTGACAGTGACGAGTTGGCTCTCCACCAGTACCATGAGAGGAGGCTACGTCGTCCAATCAGACGCCCCTTCCTCACAAGGAGATAGAGTCAGGAACGTCTTTTGTGGTGCAACCCTAACTTGAGGACAGGGCGTACAGTTCATTTGGCTGGTGAAAGTCGGTATATTGTACACCTTATCGAAAGCGGCGTCTAACTCATTCTTCACTTTACTTGCGGCTGTCGTAAATTCCTCTCAGATTGCAAATTTCAATTTCAGTTTTGTTTTGTATTACTCCAAGTAAAATATGTTTCAAAGCATATGCAACACCCCGCAGTGTTTCCGTATTTACATAAATGTGCATGGTGTTTGATTAATGTCCATGTGTATATATTAACATTCTGCAATTAAATGTTAACTCATTGGAGGTAAACAATCTCTGCCCTTGTCATAAATGAAATACAAGTGACTTCAACTACGGCAAGACAGTTGTCGTTCCTAATTTAGGGCCAAATATCGTTTTGTAGGCAGGAGAAATCACTGTAAACCTGTTATTTTGTTATCACAAGACAATACTAATTACTTAAAACAAATGCACGTACATGCACAGAATATTCATTTCTACAAAGATATTATATGTAGCACTGATAACGTTTTTCACGAGAATAAAATTCGAGGTTTCTTTGAACAATATTTTTCCCTGGACGTTGAATAATTTATTTCATGATTTCTTTATTACGCCTAAGTATGCTTGTAATATGACGAGGCACCAGAACTAGCTTTACCTGAGGTCCGTTGAAGGGATGTCCAGCTTTGCGCAGTCGGCAGCGGAGATCACCTTGCACCGCTTCTGTTTCAGCACCTTCTGTAGCACCAGGTGACATTTCATCAACAAACAGGTTAAAAGGGATGCAGAGCGCACCTCGGGCAAGGTCAGTGACTAGATAAGCAGTAGGCTAATAATGCTAATAGTATACATATACTCAACCAAATTGAAATCTTACCGTTTGTAAATTTGAATCCCACAATGAAAGTAGTGTGTTCATTGTTATGAGAATGGATGTGTATGATACGCAAATTTCACACTGATAAAACCTTTTCAACAGAAGTCCATAACGAGCGTGACCTCAGAGTGTTTGCCCTAGTTCTTGCATCATTCTGGTTGATGTACCTCATGTGGCACTCGTCTTCACAACTCACCCCAAATGTGTTGGATCATGTTCAGTCTGGGGAATGGGGCGTGGCGTTGTCATATTGAAATATCAATCCAGTACTACTTTGGATGCATGAATTGCATAAGGACGGGAGTTTAAACTTGGTCCCAATAGTGTATCGCGATGAGATTCCCCTGGACGACAGTCAACTGAGATCAACCGTCCGCAGAAAATGTTCCCAAATCGAAACTGTGCATGACGTTAACCCCACCTGCGCCACACCCGTGACCTGCCATTGGCAAAGCGTAGTGTAACGTGACTCGTCACGGAAGACAATCCTGTTTCACTGCCTCTTGTTTAGTCTGGCTATTCTGCGGACCGATCTTAATTTTCGTCAGGATATGTCCTGTGTATTGTCGTCTAGTCGGACAGCTGAGGAACACGGTTAATTCCTGGTGGTCTGTCTGCTAGTGGAAGTTGCAGTCACAAATCTGTTGCGGAGAGAACGTAACCATATTTGTACGTCTTCTTGAGTTTGACGTCACATACGGCACCCCAGGGCGACCGTCATCGATGTCTTACTGTTGCACACGAGTCCTCACATTTAGTGTTGACTGATGACTGCAGTCAGGTCTCGTACAACTGCTGCTGATTGCTCAGCATGAAGCCCATCAAAGACATGCTTACGTTGGTGATTTGTAAGTCTCGACATGATCGCCTTTCTAATAAACTTGCAACTTTCTTGCTTTGCAGTCAGTCTTCTTGCTTTTCAGTGCACGTAATCACCTGACTCGCTGCACGGGACTGCCCCACCCACCTTCCAATAATTATCGATAATGTAATGTGGGTGTCAAGTTTCTAATTTTGTTGAGTATATGTTATGTCATGAAAACTTTAAGTATTATACATGGTGAATTTAGAACGATTAAACGCGAGAGAATATACCATTTGAGAGTACTGCGCTGTTCAAAAGCCTTTCTTATGTTTGACACATTCAGTTGAAAGAAAATGCAGCAAAGAGGGTTCGGGTGATCCTGGCACAATCAGACTAGATAACCCCAGCCTTGTCCCCTTCACACGCATCCCAGACTGTAAATGTGTTCTAGGGGTGAAACGGTACACCGCGGTATTTTGCCTTCGGTTCTGTATACCATAATGCAATCCAAAAATTCGGTATTTTTGGTTTTCGTACCGTTCTTCTATCTAGTCATAAAATGACAGTGTTGTTCATTCAAAATAACAAAGATTTTGGTTATTTTTTTCTCCGTGTTAGTAAACAATGTAAAGGTTGGTTCTTGTTGTAAATTTTCTGCATTATGATCACATCGCATATGCCGAGCCGAAACGGACCGAACCGAAGGCCTCGTACCGCAATACGTACCGTGCCGTGATAAGAGCGTACCGTTTCACCCCTAATATGTTCATTATAATTGTTCATTATACAGATTAATAACAAAATATGCAGCAATGAGGCTTTAGGTTATTCTGGCAAGCAGATTGGACAGCCACATCCTTTGCTCTCTTTATACGCAAACCAAACAGCGACGTCTGTCTAGTGGAACCAACCCAGAACCTTTGGAAAATGTGAACACTCCCAAACACTGAAGCCTTTTGCATAACCCATATTAGTTAGAGAGGCCGTGTTCCTGGCAGCAAAGCTGTTTACGCTCCCCAAGTCAACAGATTGGGAAATACCTCACCTAAGGCAGCAGGAATAGTTTGGAGTCGGACAACTTGGTACTTGGATTGTATTTCGAAAGTGAGGACCGCATATTAGCCATATTTTTCATGAATTTTGTCAGTCACAATGGTGTTAACTGTGACAGACATTTTATGATATGAATAATTTCAGCAATTTTATAAAAAATATCCCGACAAGGTCAGGTTTGTTGGCTAGGATGCGTCTGTGGCCGTATGCCTTAGTCCTATGCGGGATTATTCTAAACAATTACATTACTTCCTTAACACTCTGTACATATTCTAGGTCGGACTATGGATGGACCTCCAGGAAGTGCCTGGACATGGTCAGCAAAGAGAAAGCCTTCTATTTCATTTTCAGGCCAACCGACTTAACCCAAGCAAAGGACTCAACAGGAGTGCCTTTCTTCTCAACGCATTGCATATATACCCAATGCAGCGGTCGTTCAGAGATCCCTCCTTTGAAAAACTTGGCGTGGCCGATTTGACATGGCACTTTGTTTGGTTAACATTCATGCATTGATATTGTTGATGTTGCTGAGGTTGTTACCGCATAGCTGTGCGAAGGCCATTGTCGGGAGGATAACCTCTTCTCGTACTTTGTTTCTCTGAGAAGAAAACAAACCTTCCTTGGTTTAATGCTCATACATATTTTCAGGTCATAATCGCATTTTACTGCAACATATTGTGACGTTTGTATCTTATTTCTCTAACGTTGCTGACTCTAATACATATATACACCGACAAACTCCTCTCCAACTTGCCCACCAATTACAATGAATAATGAGTAAATATAATTTGTAAACATCTCATCACATTGAGTTTGTATTAATACATACTCCTTCAAATATCAGCTCTGATGTTCAGACAGGCTAAACATTCGTCACTTCCCCAAGTGTATAATAGACGAATTGGGAGAAGAGGCGGATCTTATATGTCTACTATAAACCGTGAGTCTCCGCAACCCAACAGGCAAGTCCGTTGCTTGGTTGTTCGCACTGTTTTAACTTTGCACTCAGCAGTATTCCAGCCATATGGCGCCTTTCTGTAAATAATCGAGTCTGGACCAGACAATCCAGTGATCAAAATCATGAGCATTGATCTACGCAAATCGGATACACTAACATGTGTTAGCAAAGTTCCTGTTATGAAAATACCCAGTCATTGTATTGCGGGGCTCAGATCTATCCACCAGACTGTCTGCCGCTTACCTGCAAGGATTCCCACAACTGCAGTTTTGTGGCGTGGTCTCAAACAATGCCATCTGGTCCAGCACACAGCGAACCTCTACAAATGAACAGATAAGAGAACGATCAAACAAGTAGTAGGTATCCATGCGGTATCCTGCAGTGTGATACAATGGATTATGTCAAATAGTAAGAGTTAAGCTGCACACATCATATAATTGAGAGTCCACAGTTCCTCTGATTTCTACCGTTTAAATTATATTATTTTTAAAGAATATTTTGACATTAATTTTGTATAAACATACACGTACACATTGACTAGTGAATTACGCTAAAAATAGCTTTACCAACAAGAAAAATCCAAGAAATGTTTGTGTAGCTATTACAGAACTTTTGACCAATATTAAATCGTCATAATGGATTAATATGCACTTTTATATGATAGTGTTAAATCCTAATCAACAAACAGACCAACCGATCCAAAAAGTAGTGCTGTTAGATTTCAGATTACGAATATGTACACGGACGCAGACTAGACAAATCTAAAAAGATACCAACTATTACCCAAATCAGAGAAAGACGATTAAAATACCTCATAAAATGAAATGTTTTTCGACCAACCTATCAATATTTTCACCATCAGACTGTAAAGCCAACATATATACACATGAGCATTAAATAAGCACCATCTACTTTTGTATGCAAGTACCATACTATCCCAAAAAAGAAACGCATGTTGTATTTTCAAACATAAGTCGTCCACAAATAGACTTTAGTGCATGAATTTTTACATCAGTTTAGAAGAAGGACATGTCTATACAACCAAGTGGATAATTTTAGATAACGGAGATGTTGAGCACGGTCCCGACGTCGGGTCTCCTGGTTCTCAGTCCAATCTCTCTCAACCTGTTCCGTACAGTTTGACCGATATGCTCCGAAGCCCAGGCACCCTGGCTGCTGTGCTCTCACCCGTGGCAGTACCACCACGCAAATGTAGTACCCGGATGTACCGATCTTGGGCTGCAGTGGTGACTCGAGGTTTGCCTGTACGGGGACGGTAATTTGTTATACCTCTTTGGTTGTAACGAGTTGTAAGCCGTGATATCGTGCTCAGACTAACATTCAGACGCCTGGCAACAGAAGACTGGTAATCTCCAGCGTGCATTCTTTCAATGGCGATGTTCCGTGTCACAGCGTCAAGACGTGGCGTAGTGATTTGACCTTGAAACTCCTTCAAAACGAATGCCGATTTCCGTAAGTAATCTGGGTTTTAATAGCCAGACAGTGCATGCTCTTTGCTGCACAATTTCAACTGAAAGGTGATTTTTGTTGTGTTGTGGCGATGCGTTGTTAAATCCTTGTAAGAAGGCGATTTTCTACTTGTGCAATTGTGTAAAATCATGTTATCAACACTTTCGTTACATATTTTGACAATTGTTTGAACACAATAGGTAATTAATAGATTGTTTTATCAGTGCCTTCGCTTCGCATGAACATGCGACCAATAGCTTTGAAGATATCGTTTGAAGCTTGTTCATTTTACGTGTGCTGTATGGTAAAATGTAAAATGTAAATGTTGCCCTTTGATTCAGATGGTGCGTATCTATTGCTCATGTGTATATGCGGTTTCTGTTGGAGGCATACGTTTCTTAGTCCGGCATGCCGGGTAAGCTTTTGTGGTGTTCATGAGTATGATCATCTCCTCCTCGGACACGTGATAACACTTGCACGTGTTGGAGATCATCTCGTGCTCACACAGCAGCTGGCAAGTCTGTAGAATACAGAATATAGAACGATATCACACACAATATAGTAAGATATCTCACACAATACAATATATCAAACACGGGAGCAGAAAGAGACATCGACAAACAGGTCACAGAGACACCAACAGAAAATGATATATTGACATACAAGAGACATGTGAGACACGAGCAGAAGATGACCTTTTCAAACACGTGAGACACAAAACACAAGAGACACGTGAGACACAAACAGAATATCATCTATTGACACGGAAGAGACATGTGAGGCGCGAGCAGAGAATGATCTTCTGATATACGCGAGATACGTGAGACACGAGCAGAAGATGATCTATCGAGATAAGAGAGACACGTGAGACACGAGCAGAAGACGATCTATCGAGATACACGAGAGGGGTGAGACATGAGCAGAAGATGATCTACGCGAGACACGTGAGACACGAGCAGAAGATGATCTATCGAGATACGCGAGACACGTGAGACACGAGCAGAAGACGATCTATTAAAATACACGAGAGGGGTGAGACACGAGCAGAAGATGATCTATCGGAATACACGAGAGGGGTGAGACACGAGCAGAAGATGATCTATCGAGATACGAGAGACAAGTGAGACACGAGCAGAAGACGATCTATCGAAATACACGAGACACGTGAGACACGAGCAGAAGATGATCTATCGAGTTACGCGAGACACGTGAGACACGAACAGAAGATGATCTTTAGAGATACGCGAGAGAGGTGAGACACGAGCAGAAGATGATCTATTGAGACGCATGAGAAACACAACAAAAGGAGACGCGGTCACAAATAGAAACTCTGGAGACACTTGGTATCACTGATGACTGAGTAATCTATTCGATACAACTGAAAACAGACAGTTATGGTTTCGAATCCCAAGATTAGTCCTGTTCAAGTTTAACCTTTAAACGGTCAAGCAAGAAAACCCATGGTCATACTGGTTTTCTTCCCACGCATGGGCAGAATTTTATTGGAATGTCTTTCAAGTATTGTTCCAAAACCCATTTCAGTTATTTACATTAAAACCAGGTAAAGTTTAAAAAGCACAACCTGCACGGAGTAGGTGATGTTGTATTTGCGTCGAAACATCTCCCCGTTTTCACAGTCCCATTTCGGAGCGCCCAGTCTGTGGATCGCCACCTATAACATTGATACAGTGACCTAAGTGACCTCTGTGTATTGAGGTGAATTATTGTGGCTATACAAGGCGTTACAAAACTGTACACTGTGGACACTTGAGTGAACGTATACCATATACACCTGTTAAAGGCCTCCATAGTCTGACCCGAAAAGATCCGGGTTAGAATATATCTTCAGTAACCCATGCTTGTCGTAAGAGGCGACAAACGGGGTCGGGTGGTCAGGCTCGCTGGATTGATTGGGACATCGTATCACACACATCTCACTTCACATTTCCTCACCTTCTTCAAAGCTATATTCGTTTCCTTTCCAGCATCTATGGTGATCCCATCATGGACTGGGAAGGGCAGCATGCCATGGGGGTTGACTACCAGCTGGAACCCGTTACCCGTCGTGATACCCTCCAGTTGTTCATAGTTCTCCAGGTTCAAAATAAGTTGCAGACCTGAGAAAGGACATCAATTACAGGTTCATCTAGGCACAGACACAAATACAGTTACATACTGAGATATAACTGGCACGAGATACAAGTCAACCGCAGACCGGTAGAGATGCAGTAAATAGTAAGACAGGTAGGGCGCTACATACAGAGTTACCTGCAGACCGGTTGAGTTACGGTAAATAGTAAGACAGGTAGGGCGCTACACACAGGGTCACCTCCTGACCGGTAGAGATGCAGTAAATAGTAAGACAGGTTGGGACGTTACATACAGGGTTACCTGCAGACCGGTAGAGATGTAGTAAATAGTAAGACAGGTAGGGACGTTACATACAGGGTCACCTGTAGACCGGTAGAGATGCAGTAAATAGTAAGACAGGTAGGGACGTTACATACAGGGTTACCTGTAGACCGGTAGAGATGCAGTACATAGTTAGACAGGTAGGGCGCTACATACAGGGTCACCTGCAGACCGGTAGAGATGCAGTAAAAAGTAAGACAGGTAGGGACGTTACATACAGGGTCACCTGCAGACCGGTAGAGATGCAGTAAATAGTAAGACAGGTAAGGACGCTACATACAGGGTTACCTGCAGACCGGTAGAGATGCAGTAAATAGTAAGACAGGTAGGAACGCTACATAAAGGGTTACCTGCAGACCGGTAGAGATGCAGTAAATAGTATGACAGGTAGGAACGCTACATACAGGGTCACCTGTAGACCGGTAGAGATGTAGTAAATAGTAAGACAGGTAGGGACGTTACATACAGGGTCACCTGCAGACCGGTAGAGATGTAGTAAATAGTAAGACAGGTAGGGACGTTACATACAGGGTCACCTGCAGACCGGTAGAGATGCAGTAAATAGTATGACAGGTAGGGACGTTACATACAGGGTCACCTGCAGACCGGTAGAGATGCAGTAAATAGTAAGACAGGTAGGGACGTTACATACAGGGTCACCTGCAGACCGGTAGAGATGTAGTAAATAGTAAGACAGGTAGGGACGTTACATACAGGGTCACCTGCAGACCGGTAGAGATGCAGTAAATAGTAAGACAGGTAGGGACGTTACATACAGGGTCACCTGCAGACCGTTAGAGATGCAGTAAATAGTATGACAGGTAGGGACGTTACATACAGGATCACCTGCAGACCGGTAGAGGTGTAGTAAATAGTATGACAGGTAATGATGCTTCATACAGGGTCACCTGCAGACCGGTAGAGATACGGTAATTAGTAAGACAGTTAGGACGCTACATACAGAGTTACCTGCAGACCGGTAGAGTTACGGTAAATAGTAAGACAGGTAGGGACGCTACATACAGAGTCACCTGCAGACCGGTAGAGATGCGGTAAATAGTAAGACAGGTAGGACGCTACATACAGGATCACCTGCAGACCGGTAGAGTTACGGTAAATAGTAAGACAGGTAAGGACGTTACATACAGGGTTACCCGTAGACAGGTAGAGATGCAGTAGATGGGCAGGAACACAACATATAGGGTCATCGGAAGCAAGAAGATCCGAAATTGGTGTGTTCAGTATCCCTATCCAGAAGACTATGCACCTTAGTGATTCTACCAAGGTGTCGAGATGACCCTGAATCTAACTGAAGTAGCGCACTCTATTATATGTGTATGTGTTCGTGAATAAGGAAACTAATCACCATGTATCGGACCACTCCTCTTGCTGACGAACTTCGTGTGCTCCAAGGTGTAGCAGTTCCCGAATGTGGACGACGTTTTCCTAATGAAATGCCTGAATAAAAAAGGGAAGTTATTTTGTCTGACTTTCATCGAGTGTCTAGCGCACTGGCGATCGATGAATGTGTTAGTGAGTGCGTGCTGATAAACGCTGCATTGAAGGGTATTCAAGTTGTAGTTCGGCTTGGCAGATGTCGAAGGACATCAAAAACTGTTAACCGTGGTGAAACCCCCGAGCATGGGTTTGGTGTGGACACGCATGGACACGTGACCTGGGCACACGGGGAGTCGACCACATGACCATAGTTTTTTGCAGCTCTTCATAGCGGACACATGAACTAGGCACACGGGGAGTCGACCCCACGTCCATAGCTTTTTGCAGCTCTGCATAGCGGACATATAACCTGGGCATACTGGGAGTCGACCCCACGACCATAGCGTTTGTTGTGCCAAAAGGACACAGCACCACATAGCGGCGTATAGCGCCTCAAACGAATGAGTCCCCGTGTCCCCAGTGAATATGTTAGGCTGCTGAAATGACATAATTCTAATATCAATAAATGATGTTACACTACAATGGCTGCCTTCGGTTATCCAACTGATCGAAATGTGTGGAATTCTCTGTTTTGTCCTGTGCAAATGGGTTGCCTGGGCATGGTTGTAGTCAGCAATCGACCTTTGTTAGCTCCGTGAAGGTGGATATCTCATATCAATGCGTGGTATCTGCTTATATTTACCTTTGACTACATGTTTGGCAGGCGAAGGAGCAATCCATCATCATGTCGTCCAGTTGATGTCCAATAGCTATCCTCCTCTGCCTGCAAATAGCTTCTGATATATTATTTATGTGCATACAGGCAGATCAACTGATATATCATAAATAATTGTTGGCATATATAGTGCAGTGAAGGCGAAGTGATTGAGAGTGGGTGCTATAATTCAAGCAAACCACAAGGGGAACATTGAGGATGGCCATAAAGGGGAATCATGTTCTGAACTCATCCTAACAACATTTCAGATGACCCCCTTTACCCGTACCTGCACTGCACATTATCTGGCCTCTTCACATGTGCGGCAGAGAGCTTCATGCGATCGCTTCGTTTATGCCGCAAACATCCCTCGAAACCTGTACAACAAATACCCTTACCTACCCTGTTAATATTTTCCACAGATGACCTCACCTGAATCTGTACCGCATAAAGCCTCACCTGCTCTCATCACTTGCACCGCAGATAACCTCACCTGCTCTCTCTTCACCTGGGTCCTTATTCTCGAAACGTTCGTAGCCCTACGAACTTCTTAAGCCCATTCTTCACATATTGGCTACGATAAACGTTAACAATTCTTAGGGCTACGAACGTTTTGAGAATAAGGACCCTGTTCTGTAGGTAGCAGATAGCCTCACCTACTTTCGTCACCGCTACCACAAATAACCTCGCCTTATATGCTTCCCCATACCACCCTGTACCATCACCTGCACTGTCGATTACAAATATAGTACCCTGACCGCCTGTACCACTGAATCTCACCGTGTCTCTTTCATAAACAGGTTCTGGAATTCAATCTGAATGTTGGCAGAGGTTGAACTTTCATTGAGACCCATTTCCCCTCCCTTGCTCCCGAGTTTGCATGTTCGACATCTGCGTGAAGTAGTCCACGGTGGTAAAGTTAATGTTGATTAATCCAAACGACGCTGTGTTTTCGAGAATCGTCTGAAAATACCAGAAGTAAGTAATACCTTTAGACAATAAACTTGCAACACGTCAGTACGTTTGACGTTGCTATTCCCAATAGCCCATTCCCAAACCCAAAAATTAAACTAAAACGGCTAGTATTGAATCCTTGATGCCACACAGCAATACCTCTGCCTTGCAACCGCAGATTGCAATAATCCAGATCATCAAGTGATCAGAGGGCCAGAAAGTTAGTGATACGTCACTGCCAAATCTTGATTGTGATGTGTATCGTGTTAGAAGGAAGAGTGAAACCACTATAACACCAGCTTTGCAATCAACAAGAAGACGAACCCATGTTACTGCACTATCAAGACTCTGAAATCAATGCAGTATGAAATTCCTGAAACCTCAGAGAATCACAAAGCACAAATGAAAACAGGAGCCTTGTTTGGAATCATGTACAAAATTGTAATCTTCGCAATTGGCCGGAGTGTTTGAATGCATATCCTAGTAAATTAAACGAAAAAATGAACACACATTTCTCGACTCGACCATTTTGAGAATATCAATATATTCTGTAGAAACCTCTGAACTCACGTCAGTACCTGTTCGACATTTTGTTAAAATCCCCCTTGAATGATAGGCCAGATGATCAGTGACAACCACCAAGGTTATTCGCCACAGAACCACAAACAAATTCAGAAATGTCTCCTGTCACGTTGAGTGTGTCAGCTATTTTTACGTACTGTATAATTTATGTATTTTTATGGATCATCTTATGGAGATCTGATATTTGTGTTAAGATGATGCGGATAAATTGGTCAAAGTGACAAGACGTGCTTCACTTCGGCAAATGTCTTCGTTAGACCTCAATAAGCGTCTATTTATGCCACAAATGTTTGAACTCTTTGGTTCCGATATCACAAGTAACAAGATGGGATGCGATACAGGACAACAGTGAAGCAGAATGGAATGCTTTCACCCGACTTTCATATCGTTCACGCACTGCACGTGCCGGCTGGTACGTGGGCGTACTGTTCTTATCATTGTTAACAATACGCACCAGCACCTATGTAGCCCCAAACCCTGGCCCACCGGAGTTCAACGGTTCCGAACTGCTACAGGACATGGGAGAGCAAGTATTGGGACAATGCAGCGTGAAATTACAGCCATCATTGACGGGAATACGTCACTGAGGAATACAGTTGATACACAAAGCAGCAGAAAGTTTCAGAAAGTTGTATGTTTCATTTTTGACTCACCGGCTTCTAGAATGCCGATCAAACAATTAGACATAAGGACTGTAAACAAAGGAAGATGGCGTTGTCTTGCATCTATGACGTCACAGCCCGTCTTCCCCTGAAGCTGCGATTACAATATGCTTAAGCGATGGCTATCGAATTTGGGCAGTTGTTTGTTACTTTAGAATACAATGAAAGCAGATATGACTATTTTGTGTGTGTGAATGTATACTTTGTGTGATCTTTTATGACATCTTTAGAAATGTTGTGAGTTATTGTGTCTCCTTTAAAACAGTGTAAGGTAACTCCATGTAGGCCACAGATACCGTTTATAACTTTACATACAAGACCAATTATATGTCGCTACTCTATTCACAAGTGTTCACATCGCGAAGGATGTCAACACATATGTTAAGACTCAGTACCAGCCAAGGAAGTTAATACGTTCAACTGATGATGGTTTGCGGTTCATTATTACCCCACAGTTCCTTAAAGTACACAATGTTCGTACTTAGACGTACCTTACGATTCTCTCTCTGTAGTTCTTGAGCGAGACGGTTAGGGTTGGTCTTCTCGAAGAACCTTTTCAGTTCCTTGGATACATTCTTCATTTGGCTCAACCTCACGGGGTTGGTGTTGCAGATGGTTATGGTTGGGAAAGGCAATGGGCTGAACCCTATGCTCATCGATGTGTGTTTTGGCCAACTGTAGTAGATATGTATCAGGTAGGTCAGGTGATAAAACAGCATTGCCAAGGACGTCAAGAGGAGACAACTCCAAATTACCCTTGCGTACCAGCTCCGGGAGGTACTGAGAAAGGACACACCCTGCATGGAAGTTCTGTCAGCAAATCTTTGCAGAATGGATCGAAGGCACTTCCCACTTGATACCTGGTCACATACATCCCCTGCCATTGTGTCTGACTCGGGGTTCCACTGACTCGGATACACCAGGATAAGCTGTGCCAGACACTGCGGTGTGATCGGATACTACCGGCCCATATATACCTTCCATGCACGTATAGTAGTACTCTATAAATATAAATTTAAATTTATACTTGGTAAACATGGGCTCTATTATGAAACGTGTAATTGCGTTTACTCTGTCATTATCAAGGCCTTGACAACTGGGATCGTGTTGTTGTCAAGTGTCGATGCCGGAAAGAAATGTATGGACCTATCACGATGTTTGGGATTACATGCTGGTGTTAAACCCAACAATGATATTCTCAACATGGATGATTTGTAATAACTGTTTACTGTGTCCTCGAATTCCTGGATGTAGTGCATTAATTTGTCACACTGAAGCTCCATACAAAGAAATCATTACGGAAATCCACGTTCAACGATATCCTACTGTCACGCATTACCAGATATATAAACACACACTAACAATACATTAGAGAATTAAAAACGTTGTTAAATATCACGACGCATTATGGTGCTAGGTTGACTCTGTGTACATAGTTACAATGCGCTTAATACGCACTCTTAGCGTTTACTCCGGCCAGAGGAACAAAGTGCGCTCGGTGATCAACTCCCTGATATACAATCTGCCTGTCAGGCAAAGTTATCAGTTAGTAGTCACATTTCCATCTATTCCTACCTTGTACCCATTCTATGCTATGTGAACAAAAGCATTTTCGATCAAACTCAATTTTCAGTTTCTTTATTCGGTATAAAGGCCAACGGCCCATGTACAACATAATATACTGAACCGCAAAAGAAACGCAAGTTACTATTTTCAAAACATACGTTCCAAATGCATTCCTTTTAGGACAACAAAGTATACCATTACAGAACCAGGCATTCGAAGATGGTTTTGCCGTTGTTGCCGCTGATTCTTGACCATATCGCCCAAACGCAATCATTTTTTATGTTTTTCGTGTTTTTTGCATGAAGTTTTTGTGTTTTTCACACAAAAATGCGTGTATTTCACTCCAGTTTGAAGCTTTATAAGGCAGGTCATTCAAAAAAACACCATAGAACACAAAATTGACTGTGACAACGCGGAGAAAACATCCCACGTCTAACTGAACAGCAACGATAAATCGCCGTTGGAATGTTGCAGACCGGATCCACACCAACTAAAGTGGCCAGGCACTTCAGATGTCACGTGACAACAATCACAAGACTATCTGCAAGGCATCGTCAAACCGGTAATGTTCCAGACCGACCACGTTCAGGACGTCCCAGGGTAACAACGCCAGCGCAAGATCGTCACATCCGGGTTACTCATCTGCGTAACCGACAGCAACGAGCAACACAGACAGCTGCAACCATTCAAGGGCCACAACGTCACATCTCTGCAGACACTGTTCGTCGTCGTCTGAGGGCAGCATGGATCAGATGTCGCCGTCCTTACGTCGGACCGATTCTGACGCAACGTCACCGCCAAAATCGTTTACAGTGGGCGCGACAACACCAGCGTTGGCGACGTCAACAATGGCAACAACTGTTGTTTTCTGATGAGTCCAGATTCAACTTGTCCCACGCCGATGGGGAGGTGGAAGACTCATGGTATGGAGTGGCTTCAGCTACCACCACAGAACACGTTTACACGTGTTTCGTCAACGTGTGACTGCTGTAGTCTACAGAGACCAGGTCTTTCAACACCACGTTGTACCGCTCTTCCAGGCCAAACCTCAGCTCCAGGCGTTCCAGCAGGACAATGCTCGTCCTCACACTGCACGGGTCTCTATGGACTTTCTCAGAGGGAACAACATTGCTGTACTGCCCTGTCCCTCTCTGTCCCCGGATATGGCACCAATCGAGCATGTGTGGGATGAAATTGGTACACGGATACAGACAGCTGCTTAACCTCAAAACCTTAGAGATTTGGAAGCCAGATTGGTCAGGGAATGGAATCAAATTCCCCAAGCCTTCTTTCAGACACTTGTTGACTCGATGAGACGTCGTTGTGCTGCCTGCATTGCAGCCAATGGTGGTCACACGCGCTACTGATTGACACACTGTTTCGTGACATTTTTGGTGTGTGAGGGTGGAGTGATAACATATGCTTTTACAGTAAACTTGAGTGTTGTTTTCACCAGAGATCACGACTCATGTCTTCAACAATCACTTGTCTGTTGTTTTTTCGTAGTGTTAAGATTGTTTGTTCCACAGATTCAGAAATATTGACATTTCTAAATCAACTTGCGTTTCTTTTGCGGTTCAGTATACAAGATAATCATTATAATGACCGATGGGAATTTCTGAGAAATAGAGCTTCCTTAATAAACTTTGCAAACATTTATTAAAGTATTGATTTAATTACATGGTAGAAGAGTTTTAAACCTTACCATCGTGGGTGAATTACAATAATATCTTGGTATATATTTTGATCTGAGATAGTCATACAATCGACATTTTAGAAGGAAGTGATATTCATCTTCTACACAACCTAACGCACAAAATGTACATATTCTATTACAGCGGATAATGTCACACCGTCTACCAATGTTAACCATTATAGGGACCCCACATGTACGCATTAAACATAAAACTGCTCTATATTCCCTTTCTGGGATAGCACACAAATAATATTTAATTGACAAAAGAGGTGTTTTTATCCCCCACTTCATGTGTGATCCACACTAAACCAAAGCCATTACTAAATACTAAGTGTTTAACCTTCGATGCCCAAGTTATACGATTACATTCATCTCATGATTTACATAATAAATAACATTGTTTTGGATATCTAACAGTTTTCATTGCTAACAATTGTAACCAAAATATAATACATCGTTTGTGATAATCAATAAACAGACCATGTCTACCACATTCACCAAAAGCAGCATCATTCGAGACATAATACCCAACGCCTAAAAATATTTACAAAGTTTAATGTGAAAATGTTCAACATGTCCAATTTTGGAAAATCTCCATACCTCACTGGAAAAAAAAGTAAAATTGGTTTTATCTGTGTATAAAAAATCTTAAATATAACAGTGGGAGAAATATTTTGTAACTTATACTGTAGGTGTTTAACTAAAAATAAAGCCTTATTGGTTTTCTGAACAAGAACATTAATTGCTTTATATGAACATAATCTATTAGAAAATACAATTAACACATAATCATAATACGTTGATATCTTAACCTGAGGACTCCCAAACATCCATTTCTCTGTTCCCCTTAGCTTACCACCATTTCTGAACACTAATCTTTCTGTTTTATCTAAATTAACTTTTAATCCCCATTTAATACTCACCAAACTCACTTGCCTCATGTCGCATCACATGTGCTTCAGTGAGGGACAGAAACAGATTCCAAGAAACCTCTGGCGTCAATCTGCTGAATATGGTCATTCATACAACTCCTCCACTACCCGTGAAGATCCGGGTTAGAATATTGATCTTCAATAACCCATGCTTGTCGTAAGAGGCGACTAACGAGATCGGGTGGTCAGGCTTGCTGACTGGGTTGACACATGTCATCGTATCCCAATTGTGTAGATCGATGTTCATGCTGTTGATCACTGCATTGTCTGGTCCAGAGTCTATTATTTACAGACCGCCGCCATATAGCTGGAATATTGCTGAGTGCAGCGTAAACAAAACTCACTCACTCTCACCTATTTGTCTGTAATGTACACAAATCAATCACATCATAACTTATTTGATTTTAATTGGGAACCTGGAAAAGGTGATTGGGCTTGTAAAAAGTATGTTTCAAGGGATGTGTCTGGACCTACCCCGTAGCTAATATTCAGCGACTAATCTGCAGCAATTTTCAGTAAAATTCCCCTCTTTAAATGTTTTTTGCATCTCCACACCAATCTAAAATGACACTGGACATAAGGAAATCCTTTTTAAATCATCCTATCCAATATATTTTTCTATGGGTACTTTGTTGTGTGATCCTAATTTAGATACAATTAATTTCTCCAAAGATACTTATAACTACTAATGTACATAAGGTGCAAAGAATATGTCACATGTTCAAAGCTTTTTGTCAATAAAATTACACATTATTGCTTCTTCTTTGCTTTATTGGGTCTGAAAACATATCCTTAGAGTATATAACACTAATTTTGATATATTCAAAGTTAGTAAAGTCATAAAAAAAGTTTAGAAAAACACACATGAAAATGGCCCGAAGCTTTCACCTCCTGCAAACCAGTGTGCAATTCAATATGAAGCTCATTTTCCAAATAACCATCAAGAAACCTTGATCAACTTGCCCAGGACCAATATCTTAATAAACAAAACTTTGGCTCAGTCTTCAAATGTTGGAAACACCATGAAAAGCTAATGATTCCTCAGAATAATTACATACAGTTTGGGTTAAATATGTTTCAATTTACAATCCAGTTATATGACAAAATCAAATGGGAATTTTGTAATTGATTCTGTTCCAGGACTGAATAATGCCTGACCGGGGTGTTACCAAAACATAGCCTTTGTTTTTCTTTAGATGTTGAAATAATTTACATGGGTTATGATCCTAGTAATCACTTTCAGCATTATCTCATTAGTAAATATATTATTTAAAATAACCCAACCATATCTTAAAGCAGGGAACTAACTAAGTTAGTACCAAGTGATTGTTCTTCCATGATATGTATATAGTGTTAGTTTGCCTAGTTCTGCCTTAAAATCATATGAATCTGATATGTCAATCAATTAAATAATCATGAATAAATTGGTTTGATTGTTATTTATTTGATTACCTTTCCACGTTTACTAAAGGATACAAGATTCTTAAAACATACATTGCTATCATTTCCAGTGAATTAATTAAATGATAGTTGTGTTATTACACTAATAATGTATCAATATACCTCCCTTACCTGTAATTAATTTTAAAAAAACCAAAACAAATAATGTTCTGATAGTTAAGAAATGCACCACTTTTATTTACACTGTTCAATATTCCAGTAAGTCACTATTCAATACACCAATATCTTCACTTTTCATCTTATCACCCACTGCAAGTCAAGAGAGATATAATCGCCACCCTAGCCAGAAGAGCAAAGAACATCAGCCCCACAACCCAAGCCCTTGAAGTCGAGTTAGAACACCTTCGCCATGTCTTCTTAAACCTTAACAATTACACAGCTAACCTAGTCAACAGAACCATCAACACCACAGTCAACCCAAAAGACAAACCACCACGTCAACAATCAGCCCCGGTCATCATCAGTATACCATACATCGATACAATCAGCCACCATATCCGGGGACTACTTAAGAAGCAAGCCAACATAGATATTGTGTTCCAGAGAGGCACATCAAATAGAGATTACTAAACGAGTGTCTGTCAGATACCATTTATCTTTCAACGAGTTGTTTCAAAACGTATTTAACGAGCGAAAGCGAGTTAAATACGTTTTGAAACAACGAGTTGTAAGATAAATGGTATCTGACAGACACGAGTACAGTAATGTGTTTCTTACACACCATAAAATCGCACCATTTTATGGTTGAATGGATTCAAATTTCATTTTTTCTCATCGTAGGTGCGCAATAATACACAACACAACGTTTATGAATGAGTGACGTCACTTTGTTTCCTAATCACTACTCATCCCCATGGTGACCCTGCACAAAACAGTTTCTGCCACCTCTTCGCAACATCAAGGCAATAGTGATAATGATAACTAGATAAGATCACAGAAAATTAATTAAACCCTCTAAAACGATGATGTTACCTTGCAAATGTGGATGATTTTAATTCTTGCAAGCGAAAATTATTTGAGCGTGTGACGTCATCGTAATCGCTTGGTGGTTGTCGTCATCGGAAGATTGTTTTGATTATCTCTGCGCATTGGAGACCTGCACTTGTGTATACTAGTTTACGTTCAATGTTCTTCCATCGACTGGAGCCAAAACTTTTGAGTGTGTGTAATTAGGTGCACCCAGTGTGGTTGAATGTGACATTGCTGAGGTTACGTTCACTATCAATGGGGGACTACTCTTCTTCGCCACGTCCTTCTCGTTTTCCCGAGCCAGAAGCTGCCACTTGGAATGTAATGGAATTTACGGAGTTTTCAGTATGAAATGTGAGTTGATTACATCCTGTATGTTATCAAGACATAAACTTTTCATTATCATGCGTCGGAGGAATGTCACGAGCAATGACTTTTGTGTAGATCAACCGTTCCTGTACATGTTCGATTGAATAGAAAAGACGTGTGCCGCCATTTGCACCGATGAAGCCTTGCAAAACGTTCCATGTTGAACATTGTTTCAAAGAGTGTGTTTTGGTTCTGATTGTCATGAGTGAATTTGATAACATAAGAAATCACATAGTATCTCGGAGCTGGAAGTGGGTCTTCATCATGTTTATCAGTGAAAAATGTCATCTTCATCAATGCATCAAAGAAACAACGAGGCAAATCACAATGGACAGGCACAGGCGTTATCGTGTCAGGTATTTTTGCAAGACGACACACGACACTTGTCGCATCTCTCCAGTAAAAGTACCAATGTTGTACATTTTGAATATTCGAAGGGAATCCCGGGGTTTTATCTCTAACGGTGGTTTTCACAGGTATCACTGATTGTTCGAGCCATTTTGAATTCATGACTAGAAATCAAAAGTTTTAATAAAAAGAATTAGAAAATAAATAGATTCGTGTTATATTTATTCTACTTGTGACTCATTGTATAGATACCTATTTATGTTGCAATCGCGAAAATAACAGGTAGGTGTAAAGGGGTATTTTTTGCAAGAGTAACAGGTCTCTATTCGATTGAAGCACGAGTAACTTATCAATGAATTTTAATCAGGAAAGTAGTCCGTCATAACCTGACCCTAGGTCATCACCATGGAGTAGCAAATCACGGGATTAGAAATCGATCTCACACATATGTGTGATACCAGTTTTCTCACATGGGTTTCTCACCCACGGGTGTGTAAGAATTCAGCATATCCTACAAGCCAACGGTAAACCACGAGCAACAAAGAAGACCTTTCAGGCGTTGTCTACCACATTCAATGCGACTGTGGTGACTCATACACAGGAGAAACGTGCCGCCCCCTAAACCTACGAATCAAGGAACATCAGACATCTGTAAAGACAAAAGACTCCAAATCAGCCATTTCCGACCACACCCAAACCCACCCGAACCATACCATACTTTGGAACAACATCAGCATCCTAGAAGCCAACCGGTCAGATTACAAGATAAGAAAACTCTTAGAGGTAATCAACATCAAACGACTCAACCCGGCAATCAACAGAGATCAAGGTTATTACATCCCCAGAGCTTACGATCAACTAATCAAGCCTAATCAAGAATAACCCACCCTTTGTCTACTGGCTTCAATCATTTCTTATCACAACAAGTTTCATGTCGACACACGTACATCAACCTCTTCTATTGTATAAACCCAATACCCGTCATGTATATATTTCTCCTTGTGCAAATGGTGTGTATCATTTGCTTGATAACGGTGTTAGAATCTACACCGAAACGTCACAACTACTACTGCAACAAAGAAGTTGTCTATCCACAAAAAGTGTTTCACTTCATCATACCAGCTTCTAAATGCCACTTAAGGAAGGAAAAAAAGTCACTATTCCACTCATTCAATATAAGGTCCCATCTCTTCACAGAAATTTTGAAATACCTAATGCATGGTGTTATGGGCACTAATATGATTATTTTTGCGTGATAGGCAACTGCTGACATTGACAATATTTCCGTTTGAATAAAATATATTACTCCTAGAATATTTTGCACTATTAACAGATAGACCTTCAGATCATGATTTTGAAACTTTAAAAATGTGTGACAAATTAAAGAATATCTAAGAGCAAAGGAAACGATATACACCAATTGTTCTATAATGTAACAGTAATAATAATAATAATAATAATAATAATAATAATAATAATAATAATAAATGGATATTTCTTATGCGCCATAGTCCATCCAGAGCATGCTCAAAGCGCTACATATAAAAAGAGTCACTAGAGTCAAAGAGGAAGATATGACAATTCGTCAAAATGACCATGAAAATATTTCGCAGTTATAGGTTGTAGATTTTTTTGAAGAGGAAGGTTTTGAGTCCCGATTTGAATGCTTCTAAGGATGAAGCATTTTTTATGGGAGTAGGAAGACTGTTCCATAGGGTTGGTGCTGCAAATTTGAATGACCTATGGCCAAAGTGTTTGAGACGAACTTGGGGAACTGAGAGAAGATGTTGATTCTGGGAGCGGAGAGAACGGGCAGGCATATATGTTGACGACATCTCAGAGAGGTATGGAGAAGCTAGGCCGTGTTTGCAGCGGAAAACAAGAGTGCAGATCTTGAAATGAATTCTCTAAGACTTTCAAGTGATGTACAGCGAAAATGTAATGAAATTTGTCTGCTATGGCTGATGAGTTACAAAGGTTGCAGGTTCTATTTTGTTTTGTGTATTGGTCCAGCGACATTTTTCAATTGGTAGTTTATGATTTGTTGTTCTAAATTTAAGTAAGGGATAAGAGATAGATTTTGGTAGATAAAGGTAATTTTCAAATTTAGGTAATTTCTTGTAATTTTATAAGAAAAGCCTTTCGAACTGTTGGTAACTGAACTGTTCCATGATTGAAAAAATTGATCACTGAGAATCGTGTCGATCATACTAACCAACCACTGTCTGTCGGCTAGGCTTGGCATCAGTAATACATATGAAAGACCACAGTTGTTTAAAATTGATTCAATGTGGCTAACCCAGATTGATAGTTGGAAGATACATCTGATGTGATAAAGGTTAACAGGTCACACGATAGTTTTTCCGTTCCTTGTTTATGCCAGTAGCTTATCATTCTTTTAGCTATCGGCATTGTTAATGGTTTTCTGCCTAGCTCTCCATACACCATAAAGTTAGGTGTAGACATTTTAAGACCTGATGCTAACTTAAAAACTTCAGATGTACCTTTTCAAGAATATTTATATTTGAATTTGAATACCCCCAAATATCTGCAACCATACAAAAGAATTGGGAGTATCATGACATCGAAGGCTTTAATCGTACAGTCAAGTGGTAGATCAATGTTACGAGAATTTCTTAAAGGTATATACATACATTTTGTGGCATTTCACAGCTGATGATTTCAAACCGAAGGTAAATTTTCTATTTATGTGAAATACAAATCCAAGATAACATTAATGGTCAACAATCTCAATTTCTTTTTTTCTCAATGAAAAGTGATAGCTTACTAACTCTTCTTTTGCCACTTCCAAATGTGACTATTTTAGTCTTAACGATATTAATGTGGAGTTTCCATTTGTCGCAGTATCTTTAAAAGAGTTCAGTGAGTTTTGCAAAGATTTAGGGCTAGTGGCAAACAAGGCTGTATCGTCAGCATAGAGTAGTAACAACAACTGTACATATATCAAAGCATTGTCAGTCAAACCAGAGACACTCACTCCTTCGCAGTTCTCACTTGTCAGCCACTTTCAATGTCATTAGATATAGAATAATAATAGGGAAAGATTTTCACCTTGTCGAGCCCCTGAGTGACTATGGAAAAAGTCTGATATATTATCATTAAGTAGCACACATGATTTGATATTCTGGTACATATTTTACTAGGGCGAGGAACCTATCATTGACACTTTGACACAATTGCGTTAGTCTCTAGATATTCCGTAAGCCTATCATTGAGTATACCTGTAAATACTTTCCCCAGGCAGCTCAGGATGGTTATATAGGGCGATATGAATTTGTATCTGTTTTCGCATCTTTACCTTTATAGATTGGTTTGATGATCCCTATTAACCATTGTTCGGGTATAATGACGTTAACAATTATGAGATTGAACAAATTTACAAGGCAAGGGTCTACTATATTTACTGAATCAATAATGAAGTCATTTTCGATTTGGTCTAATCCTGCAGCTTTGCTTCGTTTAAGTTTTTTACTACTTTTATCAGTTCCTCTAGGGGTGAAATCCTTATTAAGTATATCATTATCAACTTCGGATTTGGGATTACTATGTTCAACAACATCAGAATGTCGGTTCGAATTTAAGTGTTTATATATAGAATGAATGGAATTTGCCAAGACTTGGTGTATCTTCATTGCTGGTATTTGTTCGTTTTGTTGAGAGCGCGCCAGAATTCTTTAGGCGCTTTGAATTGTTGTTCTCTTAACATCTTACAAACATTTTCTTTGTGTTTTTGTAAATGCTTTTTCATACACTTTTTATATTCTTTACTAGCATGCTGTAAGTACGAATGATTTAGGAAACCTTTATTTCTTCGGAAACGCTTTCTAGCTTTAAAATAACATTTCCTCTTGGAACGACATTCTTTTCCAAACCACGGTTTATTAGCGAATGCCTTTTTTGATAAGCCACGTTTCACGGACTTTACTCCAAATGTTACACGCGCGGTTTCAACGAGAGTACTAGTCAGTCGTGTTGCTGTTTCGGTTATGACGTCAGCAGGATTTGCTCTCCCGGATAACGCTTCTGATGTGAGTATCATAAGTTCTCCCATCAAGTCTGCATCAATATGTGTACAATACTCTTTGGCTTTAGCTCGATCATAACGGCGTGGCTTTTTATTCGGGGGCATGTCAGGTTCCTGTGCAGTTTTATTTTGTCGTTGGGTATTGCTGGCAAATGAAAATAAAAGTGGACTATGAACGTCGGAGTAAAGCGAAGAGAAAAAGTTCGACTTTCATATTTTGTAACAGCTGTAAACATTTCGGGGACGCAAGAAGATAGTCAATTGTACTTTGGTCTTTACAAGTGTAATCTCCTGCCGACGCCTCATCTCCGATTCGACCATTACAGATGAAAAAATTGAAATACTGACAAAGTTCTATTAGCAATTTACCATAATTATTTAGTCGCTTACACGGGGTATATTCAGATCGGTTAGATTAGTTTCGGGATCAAATTCACGCATCATGTCGTCAAGATTTATGTCTAATGCATCGAGGATGTTTTCATCCAGTTTAGAATAATCAGTCAGGGACCCTGTCCTGGCATTAAAGTCTCCTACAACCGACACCAGTTCTGTCTCTCATAACATGTACAGGAGCGATCTTTCTAACTCCACAAACATATCTGTAGAAGCATACCTTGACCCTTCCGGCGGTAGGTATACAACACCAATTATCATATCTTGGCTGACATTAAGGAGTTCTTTAGATATTCTAAACCAGATGGCATACTCACTATGATACTCTTCAATAGGTGAAACGTATGAGGAGTACTTATTCCTAACCGCTAAACCCAGGCTACCGGAACGTCTAAGTCCAGATTGTCTATGTTTTAGAAACAGAATATAGCCTTCTATGCATATATCATCCAAGTTGTCAGTTTTAGTTTCTTGCAAGATATGACATCAAACCTATATACAAGTGTAAAGAAAAATGTAAAAGGAAGTGTAAATACAAGTGTAAAGGAGTATTTAAAGGGAAGTGTAAATACAAGTGTAAAGGAGTATTTAAAGGGAAGTGTAAATACAAGTGTAAAGGAGTATTTAAAGGGAAGTGTATATACAAGTGTAAAGGAGTATATAAAGAGAAGTGTAAATACAAGTGTAAAGGAATATGTAAAAGGAAGTGAAAATACAAGTGTAAAGGAGTATTTAAAGGGAAGTGTATATACAAGTGTAAAGGAATATGTAAAGGGAAGTGTATTTACAAGTGTAAAGGAGTATTTAAAGGGAAGTGTAAATACAAGTGTAAAGGAGTATTTAAAGGGAAGTGTAAATACAAGTGTAAAGGAGTATGTAAAGGGAAGTGTATATACAAGTATAAAGGAGTATGTAAAGGGAAGTGTATATACAAGTGTAAAGGAGTATGTAAAGGGAAGTGTATTTACAAGTGTAAAGGAGTATGTAAACAGAAGTGTATTTACAAGTGTAAAGGAGTTTGTAAAGGGAAGTGTAAATACAAGTGTAAAGGAATATGTAAAGGGAAGTGTAAATACAAGTGTAAAGGAACATGTAAGGAATGTGTAGTATCTGACAAACATGTCTTCTTTGCCCATCATCCTATCGAGTCTATCAACAATTCAAACCACAAACTGGTAAAGAGTTTTGTTCAGAGATACATATTCCCTCTGACTAAAGGAAAGAATCCCATTTACTGAGGATATGCTGATGCACGCTATCCACGTATTGGTAGTAACAAGAGACATGATTTGTGATATGGTATGAACTCGTGGAGCAGAATGAGACATTTTACAAACGCTTCTACGTATAGTGTCACCCTGAACCTATCACAATGACAAGGCGTCTACTATTCGGTGGTCAGTATGGTGTGAATGTAACTTCATTTGCCTCAGGATAATTTCTCAACCGTTCCAGGAAGTTATAGCTTCGTGGATCAGCTCTAAAGAACTTTGAGACCACATGGTCGTCTTGCGATTGGTGGTGTAAAGAGTTATCCCTCTTGAGTGAATCTTCCAAGTATCATTTTCCAGTTGTGAAGTTTGTTTCTGTTCTTACAGGCCTTGACTTCTTGACTTTGTATTCTCTGTCAGCGATGTGCCCTGTAAACCGAAAGATAGTCCGGGGTGGGCGGCGGTTGAAGCGTTCACTCGTCACCCAAAGACCCTGGTTCGATTCCCCACATGATTACAATGTGTGAAGCCCATTTCTGGTGTCCACCGTCTTGATATTGTTGTAATATTGCTCGAGGCGGCATAAAACATAAATCACTCTTGAGGCCGGAACGAAAATCACTTTGTATTCTTGTCCACACTTCAAATCATTTTTAGAAGACGGATTAGACAAGTATATAACACAACTAAACTTGAGCAGAGGTCGCGTCTGTTCTTCGGTGTGTGTGTCATATAGAGTATTGTTCAACAGGTCAGCCTGACATGTAACTCTCCATATGGATCCACTTACACCACACCAGGAAATACAGTACATAATTACAGCGTGTTTGCGGTGTAACTTCATGCTGTGGTCGCTGCATTACACCACATGATGCAAAGGTCGCCGTCAGAGTGGCTGAATCATTGTAAATTTGCGTCGTGCTGTGTCAGCTATTTACAAACAACACTGAGAAATCATTTGACAAACAAGATAATTTATTCCAAAGAGATAAACATCTTCAGTTTCTGGATAAGATGACAATGACTGACCTTTTACTCTAAGCAACACCTTGAGCTTGGAAAAAGCTGGATGTTCCTGGAAAAAGTCAGTTCATAAATTCTATAAATACTCACACGCACGCACCCACGCACGCACGCACACATACATGCACACACACACACACACACACACACCACACACGGAAGACACGAAAGTATGTACTTGACCGAAAACGGCCTTGTGCTCAGTTGACAGTCCCAAAAAGTACCATTAAAGAGGATAAGAGTGATCGCTACTCGCCCCAGTCACACAAACAGTCTCACAATATTTGAAATTATGCCGCTGTTTGAAGGACGCCCAACTCCTGAATACAATGATTGATGCAATTCTACTCTTCAGGTAGACCCAATTGGGAAACAAAGTAATGATGAATGATGCTAGTTCACTGTTTGAACATGTTCAATCATAAAAAAACCTCTACCGCGATGGGTATCCAAATATTTGAAACCAACAAAATCGTGAAATACCCTATTGATACTAACATACAGTAAGAATTGCACCCATTCTTGAAAACAATACTATGGCTAACCCTGTTTTACTGAGTAAAACACATCCCATCCTGAAATTCCACGTTTACCTACAGTTTCGGGCTGGAGTTTTTCAAATTAAAAGACTTGTTATACCCAACATATACAAATTATGAAGTAATATTATACTATACATATGAATTCTGTCATGTTTAAGAGGAAGCCTGTTGAATAGGAATAGATAGTTGTTAGACATACGGAGGTGTCTATCGGAGGTACAGTGGAGACGAAGGATTGCAATCTGTGGTGCAGAGTTACGTCCCTTCATCATGCCTTGTTCCAGTTCGAGTCCCAGGTGCAACATAAACTTAAGCCTTGGTTTGCCACCACCTTACACTCGTGATTCACATAACTACAAAGAGTCTAAAACCTTCGTCAAGTTGGGTCGTCTTCTTACATTAATATGACGCCGTTCTAAACGTCTCCATTTCGACATCGCAACAGTAAAATTTCATTAAAACCTCATCGACACAAAATATTTTCTCCGTGATACTGGAATAACGTTGGTCAGATTCGCGGATCTCCATTCAAATTCAAAAGCAATGGCCACGAGATACATATGAAGTACCCCAATCAGCGCCATGTTGGAATGTGAAAGGGAGCTCTAGCCAGTGTTACGTGAGTGGGATCTTGTGTTTAACGAACCCTAGTGTTTTGTAATACGAGTCATCAAACGTAGATTCTCCTCTACGCTCACGTAGAGTCCGGCTCAAGTACCACTCATCCATGCACTGGAGGGCCGCTGGCTGGAAGTCCAGATGAAACTTGTTGGCAAACAATTCTTTCCTCTCTGGTAACTTGGCCAGATCTCCCACCCCGAAGATACAAATATATCGGACATATTTCCCCCTGGCAATCTCCACCAAATAACTTCCCTCCCTGCCACACCTTGTATCGGGCCAAGAAGGGTTTATTGACTGGATCTGTCTCCGGCTGACCTGACAAAGAAGATGCCACACAATGTACAAGGTATATAACATGGAAGGATTGAGAATGGTCAGTGTTAGAACTGGGAATGAGACAAAATGGGAAAACCCGGAATCAGCAGTTTCTTAGAAGAACCAGGGCGGTCCAAAGAATAAAGGACCAGGTTAAGATTAGAGATCTCATGAATACAAACTAGGTGGGATTAGATATGAGGACCTGAAACAGAGGACTGGTCCTAAGAACAAGGACCAGGATATAAGAAGGGGCTCTTAGAACAAAGAATCAGAGTAAGAGTAGGGGTCCCAAGAACGAGGCCTTTTATGCCAGTAACGAGTAGCAGGACAGGAGAGGTCCTAAGAACTGGTACGAGGACTGTTACGAAGAACGGGTACCAGGTAGGATGGTCTAGTTAAAGGGTAAGAAGCGAGGTACAAATAAGGAGGAGAGAAGCCAGGTCGAGTTAAAGGATGCGAGATCTTCAGAAGGAGGTCCAGGTTAGTAGGAGTCAGTGAGTGAGTTAAGATTTTAAGTCACATCGGCAATATTTCATCCATACTGTGACAGGTTAGTAGGTGACTAAGCAAGGCCGAGTTAAAGGTAGAATGCAAATCTTCAGAATTAGGTCGAGATTAGAAGGACAGAAAACAATATTAAGTTAAAGGGTAGGATGGGAGGTCTTTAGAAGAAGGTCCAGTAGAGGTACCAAGAACGAGTACGAGGACTGGGTGAGAGTGCGTCAGAAATATCATGACAAGGCTGAGTTCCAAATTATGAACATACAAGTCTATTTATATAACATATGTTATATTGGTGATTACACTTTCCTATTAAAGTACAAATTCTAGTACTTTTTTAGGTTGAGTCTCATGCGGGATTCGAACCCACACCCTCAGAGTCACGCACCTAATCGCCAGCACACAAGAATGGAAGTCGGACAACTGGTAGTCAAGACTGCGGGCTTTGTGTACTCCTCTGACAGGTGTAAATTGGCCCGGTTCCCACGGACGAAAGCTATGATTACACAATACCATTTTTTTTCTCTTTACCGTGACCATTATGATGCGCTTGATGTTCTTGACATTCAGCGAGAGCATCAATTATGTTGCATTTCTAAGAATGTTTAGGATCTATATCATTATAGTGGAACATTATTCATTTTCTTCCTACGCCTGGGATGTAAAACAATGCCTGGGATGCAAAATATATTTAGTCTGGATAAAAATGTGGGTGTTGAAACGGTGACACATTTGCCGTGTGGGAAACGTACCTTGATAGGTTCCTGGTATTTTGAGGTGCGGATTATGATTTAATGTTGCAAAGAACGTCTCATCCGGAAATTTGGTTCGTTTCAACCACATGAGCAGATCATTAGCTACTGGGTCGTGAACAATGTACTCCACATACTGACGGTTAGCGACCACGTGGACGGCGCCCTTTACTGGGCGGATGTTGTGGGGAGGAACGCCAGCGGTGCCCCATCGAGAATTTCGATCCGGTATTCTGTTGATAAGAGCAAATGATTACGCAAAGCATGACATTGTCTGCATAACATAGCAAACATCTATATCAGGACAGTAAGACAAGACGTCACACGTTGTTTCATTTCTACTTGCAATGATAGCTTCGTTCTGATAGCTTCTAATATAGCAGCGAACCTGAATTTTCGTTTCGCAATTTAAAATATTCTTCTGTAGGTTCTATTTATCCAATAACCTGTGTCCTATTTTGTTATGTTACTGAGAGTCTTTTGATTGAACAGCAACAGATTAATGAGGAAAGAGAGAGTGAGTGTTGTTTTGATTCCGCAATATTCCAAAAGTTCAGCAGTAACACGACAGAGAACACCTGAAATAGTCTCAATGTTGTATCAATAAGGGGAATCGAAATCTTGAGTGTAACGAGCGAACGCTTTAACCACTTGGCTAACCACTAGGATTACCACTAACCCAAATCGCCCCCCAACGCCACGAGGACAAGGTTTGACTATTATTTCAGTGCTGACAACTATGCACAATGACGTTGGGTCAAGTGCGGACATTTTTAGGATTCTGGCATGCAATCAGAAATCAATAAAGAAATCACATAGATATCAATAATCGATCACAATGTCAAGATTTGGTGTACTCTCTGCCAACGGCAACAACATCCCTCCTCTTCAATGACTGTCTCAGATGTTGAATTTGGCGTTGAGGCATTGTGTTCCATTCTTGATGGATTATTTGTTCCAATACCCCATGACTTCGTACTGGAGGATCTCTTGCGTTTTCTTCGCTCCATAATGTCCCAAACCGGCTCTGTTGGAAGGCCAAGGTAGAACTGTTACCGCCTCCTGACGAAAGAAGTGTACCGTTGGCCATTCAGATTTTGTCTGACCGTCACAAGGTCAAAGTTAGACTCACATGAGAGGCACCCACGCACCATCAATGAACCCCCGCTAAACGGTACTTGCTCCTGGATATTGCGTTGTGCACATGTAGTATTTCTGCCACGACGATTACGAGTTCGGCCATCAGTCAAAAACAAAACAAACTGACAAGTGGATCCTTCCCATGACGTTAAAATTCGAGTGACGTCGAGCCTGACTTGTCTTGCTGCTGTGTGCTCAATGTGTAGCAATGGCCGTTGGGTCTGGGTAAATGATAGGTTGTCTGGTTCCAGATCCGGTGAAGGTAAGGCGATTTCGGAACGTTCTGTTTTGCAAACAGCGATGTGGCAGCCACTCTGTTTTTAACGTGCCACTTGACATGAACGGATAAAGTCTGTTTTTATCTGAGAAGGGCTATATCCTGAACGTTTGCCATGCTCTACGTCAATATTAGCTTGCCGGTGTTTTCTGGCCAGTCGGCTGAGAGTCGATGGACGGCAACCAACATCTCTTGCAATAGCCCTCACTTACATACCACCTTTGAGCAGTTCTCAACTGAGGAGAACTGATTTATATATCAACAACGAAACCAATTGGTTTCCCATGATCTCGAGCTTTGAGAACAGTTTACTAAAACTTGACAGGTACACGTATTACACGCGTAGTCCACCTTCATCCTAGCACGTGCATATCTTAAATCATTGCATTGTGCATCCGTAGAGTCCAGTTAATCGATCAAACATCATAATGATAGAAAAATATATATGGCAATATGGGGGGTTAAATTATGGATGTTGCGATACTTATTTCAGTGTGTTTAGATCATCACGCGATACAACAGTGATACAAACAGGTATCCATATTCATCCCCTATATAGTGAAGACCCGGATCCGATTCCCATCCTGATAAAAGCGTGTTCATCAAAAAGTTACCCAACCTGGACATGGTTTCTGCAAGCCCGCCATACAGGGTCGGCTACGTACATAAAGCGACGAAAGTATTTCCACAGACGTAAAGAATGAGTGAGTGAGTGATTTTACGCCGCTTTTAGCAATATTCCAGCAACATTACGGCGGGGGGACCCCAGGAATAGGCTTAACACATTGTGCCCATGTGGGGGAATCGAACCCGGGCCTTCGGCGTGACGGGCGAACGCCTTTAACCACTAAGCTACCAACCGCCACCACAGACATAAAGAACTACAGTTAACTCCGATTATAACGAACTGAAAGGAGCTAGTAATTTTAGTTGGCATTTCGACAAAATATACACCATGGATTCAGGGAGAAAAACAAGACAGTTCGTAAAAAGCGTGTTCGGTACAGACATAGTTTACTTGAATTGAATAAATGACTACCAGAAGAGGTACTATACCCAACCGTGGCACATGTAAACATTTCCTCACCTTTTAACGGTTCCTTCAATGTCATTGGCGCCATCGTACGCTTTGAGAATCTGGACAAGCTCCATGTTGGTCTTGAGGGGAAACTCCTGTCCTGTGAGATTAATCAGATAACGCCACTTGTGTTTTAGCAGATCCTGCATACACACCAGTTCTGGTTCCAGCACGGTGAAACTTCCCCACTTTACCACCACCGACCGGGACGACAGGAAGACGTTGGGAAGACACGTTGTAAGTGAGGTCACTGAGTTTCGGACCTCCAACGACGACTTGGCGTCAACGTGAATACAATACACGTTGTGTGGACGGTAGATCGCGCGTAGTAGGCGTTCAAACTGTTCGAAGCTTTTATACATAAGAACTGTAAATGCTATGGGGAATTCCTCCTCGGCCTTTGAAACCTCTTGTATATACAATCTCTTGGACAGGAATTCTGTGCAGTTTGTGTTGAGAAGTGGATAATATTGCCTGATGTCATTATTTTGCGTTACACGCTTCCCTCTTGCTATTGCGTCTTTGTCACCTTCGAATATCTTGCTGCAGTTGATGCTGTGATCTATCACTTTCACCTGCCTCGACGGAAGAATATCCCAGAAAAACAGTCCGTATAATGTGAACAGACAAAATGATGACGTCACTATTGTCAGAAGGAAACGTCTGAATATCCCCCCCGGACCCATCAGTGATCTGCAAGAAGTTAAAGAGACATGGATCAATGTATACTCAAGATACAACACAAGAACAAAATAGATTATTTATAAAAATTTACAAATTTTGAAAAGATGATATTTACAAAGCTTGTACATTTCTGTAAATTCAGAAAGGATTGTACCACAACTTCTTTCAATTTCTCCTTTTCCCAAGGCTCCCTGGTTTTAATATCTCTCCCATGTCAATGTCAGAGGAAGTGTATAGATCAAGTATATATTTCAAGCATCTGTTGTTCTATTTGCCATGAGTTTATGTTGTGCAAATACATGCTTCTTGCATGGGATATATTTACACATAGGAACTGCAGGAACAAGCCGTATTTAAATATTATCCATTCATATTAATGCAACTGGACTCGACGCGTGGAGAAATAGCAAAACAATATTGTCTTTCAATACATTTTTGAAAGCTTGGATAATTTTTAAGTAACCGGTTTTTATATTCGCTGTCCTCTGCGTTCTATAAATAAGTATAACTTCACTCAATCTGTATCCTTCCAGTTCTATGTTTACATTTTCTAGCTAGCATTTTCTGAACTGTGATTTTAAGTGTATGTTTTCGCTGTTATCATCAAACGCGCAACTATGTCACTGTTCGAATAATAAAAATTACGTACAGCTACGTTACATGGATTAAATCAAACCAGACAAATGACATGTCCTAAAAGTTTACTCTTGCCGGGACGTAATAGGGCAATTGTAGTGGAATACATTCTCTATTTAACACCTGTCTCAAGGGACATGCCATTTTTGTGCTAAGCAGTGGGTGTATTCACGAGTAATTATTTGAAAAACTTTCAGTTTAGTCCTGTAATGTGTTCATTGGCATTCATGAACATGTTGATAGATACTTAGTTATGCTGTCCAAACACGGGTGAATTGAGGCAAATAAATAAATGAATACCTTCTTTAATAAATCACAGTGCAACTAATTAATTTGATAATGTATACTACTTATATGACAATAGTGTGAGATGAATGTACAAATCTGCAGCCCCCCAACCGGAACCGCCGGGTAAAGGACAATAGCTCAAACTTCCGTCTACTTCCACACACGGACGGTAAAACTGCTCGTTATCCACCACTCGTGTATCGTGTACATTTATCCTTAAATCTGTCTCCAGATGGTGCACTATTGCCGTGTTGAGTAACATGATGGTGTATATTCAATATTACATCTGTCTCCAGATGGTGCACTATTGCTGTGTTGAGTAACATGATGGTGTATATTCAATATTACATATGTCTCCAGATGGTGCACTATTGCTGTGTTGAGTAACATAATTGTGTATATTCACTATTAAATCTGTCTTCAGATGGTGCACTATTGTCGTGTTGACTAACATGATCGTGTATATTCAATATTAAATCTGTCTCCAGATGGTGCACTATTGCCGTGTTGAGTAACATGATGGTGTATATTCAATATTAAATCTGTCTCCAGATGGTGCACTATTGCCGTGTTGAGTAACATGATGGTGTATATTCACTATTAAATCTGTCTCCAGATGGTGCACTATTGCTGTGTTGACTAACATGGTGATGTATATTCACTATTAAATCTGTCTCCAGATGGTGCACTATTGCTGTGTTGAGTAACATGGTGGTGTATATTCAATATTAAATCTGTCTCCAGATGGTGCACTATTGCTGTGTTGAGTAACATGGTGGTGTATATTCAATATTACATATATCTCCAGATGGTGCACTATTGCTGTGTTGAGTAACATGATGGTGTATATTCACTATTAAATCTGTCTCCAGATGGTGCACTATTGCTGTGTTGAGTAACATGGTGATGTATATTCAATATTAAATCTGTCTCCAGATGGTGCACTATTGCTGTGTTGAGTAACATGATGGTGTATATTCAATATTACATATATCTCCAGATGGTGCACTATTGCTGTGTTGAGTAACATGGTGGTGTATATTCAATATTAAATCTGTCTCCAGATGGTGCACTATTGCCGTGTTGAGTAACATGATGGTGTATATTCACTATTAAATCTGTCTCCAGATGGTGCACTATTGCTGTGTTGAGTAACATGGTGGTGTATATTCACTATTAAATCTGTCTCCAGATGGTGCACTATTGCTGTGTTGAGTAACATGGTGGTGTATATTCACTATTAAATCTGTCTCCAGATGGTGCACTATCGCCGTTTTGAGTAACATGATCGTGTATATTCAATATTACATCTGTCTCCAGATGGTGCACTATTGCCGTGTTGAGTAACATGGTGGTGTTTATTCACTATTACATCTGTCTCCAGATGGTGCACTATTGCCGTGTTGAGTAACATGATTGTGTGGGAACTCTCCCCAATCCTCATGAGATCAAGGAGCCAGTTCCTTTGTGAATAACATTTTTCTGTGAGATAATAAACAAACACATTCAAACATCATATACAGTATTTGCGCGAGTTTTGTTTGGTGCCAGTTTGTCCATTTGTGCACACATATAGAAAGAAACATGTATTTGAATAGGAACTGCGTTAGAACTGTTTAACAGCGGTATGTTACATCAGTACATGTCACATCCTGACTCTACGGGACTGTAAGCATTGAGTCTATATGTACATCATTTTATCACATTTCCTTTTCAAACATATAAATGGGTCCTTCTGCTCCTTACATCCATCTTAAAATAGGTTTAGGTATGACCAGTTATCTGTATTGCATTCTACTGGGAGCTAAAATATTTGAGTGCACTTATTGTACATGCACATCCACTTTCTACATGCTAAGGCCAAGAGAATAAAGGAGGAACAATGTCAGTAGTAGGTTTGATAGGTGATGGATGCTTACTTTCTTACTTGAATCATAGGATGTAAAACTCAGTCAGAGTAGAACTGAAGGTCATGCTCTCTGTCAGCCCTAGGATCACGTGATGTGTCACTTTATGTTTCATGTGTCATCACCTGTAACTTCTAGGAAGATTTATTAAGGACCATAAAATTATCATTTTGAGAGTGACAGATGTCTGTATATGTTTTAAAGTAGCAGAAGACCTTGTTTGTATTCTATATTCAAAGTTTTGTTATCCATTTATCATTAAATTACAAAATAATGTTCAACTGTCGCCGGTGAGAACTGTTTCTCTTCATTTGCGTCCAAAGGCCTTGAATTAAACCAAAGAGTGGGTGAGTGAGTATAGTTTTACGCCGCTTTCAGCAATATTTCAGCAATATCACGGCGGGGACAACAATAATGGGCTTCACACATTGTACCCATGTGGGGAATCGAACCCGGATCTTCAGCGTGACGAGCAGACGCATACTTTAACAAAAGATGTCAGAAGGTAGCTTTATTGTGCTTTACAACTCAAGACAATAACTAAGGCGGCGCTGTTGTATTTCTTGAAATTACGGAGCTAAATAAGAACGGAATGAAGACTGTAATTGCATACTTAAACTATGCGGGTTTGAATGTATAATTTCGGGTAATATGAAAGATCACAATACTTTTTCAAATGATTACGGTAATGCGATTCGTATTTATAAAGCTGTTCTGTACGGTATAGAACTGCATGCGGAACGGAACGTTTTATATCATTTTCAAATACTTATTCATGCTGGTGAAAATATCAAAATACAAATGTTGGTTGTTGTAATCTACTCCAGTGAGCGCGTATCTGAGATAAATCTACTCGAATATTATTTGATCGGCGGACTATGTAAAATACGGAATAAGTGACCTACATACCAATTCATCAGTTGTGACTAAGCTACTGGAATCTAGGCTACAGAACGAGAATCTAACCAGCATCTAACATGCGAAATGAATAAGACTAGACAAAGAGACTGGGAATATACACATGGGTGTCAAGAAACACTGAAAAGAAATATTCGTGCTATGCATAGACCTCACTGGATAGTGCCTAAAATTAATCGGTTATCTGAACTAGTATTTACAATGTTAGGTATTTCGAAAAGTGCTTCAATATTCGTTAGGAATGCTTCAAACTTAACTCTAAAATTTTTCTAGACGATAATTACGAAGCAATAACAAGTTAGACATAAACAAGAATAAAGTTTAAATGTTTCTTACCTTAAAACAAGAAAGCGAGCAGCTGTAGAGTTCCTTGGGTTTATTCAAGCAAGTGTGCCTGAGATGGAACAACCCAGGATTTTATACCTTACAGCTCCACTCGTTTACCATTTGTCTAAAGTTCAAATTTCCAGATGCATCATCTACCCTATGCTGACTAAGTTTACAACACGAGGTGGTAAGAAGGTAATTCAAACCGAAACATGAGTCTCATTAAACTAATGACTTTTCAGCCGATCCGAATTATCTCGTGTGAAAGTGAAAAGACACTACCACAAACAACTATGGCTACATTGAATTCCATTTCCTTGTTTCATAAGGAAATAGTATTTACAAGTAATTTTTAATTTTAAACTTTAATAACATCGTATTTCTATATTTTATGGCGAGGTGTAGGCAGCATGTGGTTAACTAAGACGTCACAGACTGACCCTGTTTGATGAGGTCGTAAAATGATTCACAATTCATCTGGCTCACTGGTTACACCTGTTATGTATTCTTTGTGCTTATTCAATGCGGTTGTGTAATGCACAATGTGATTGATATAATATCAAGTCCGTACCAGACCGCCAAACTTTTCTGGCGGCAGAGCCTCGTTTTGAGATTTCCACGATTTCCAGATTTCCGTTTGTCAGAGCACGCTGTACGACAGAGCACGCTGCACGACGTGTTTGCAAGGATTAGAAGGAGCGTAGTGTTGCAATATACTAGTGCTCAGATGTATCAAATAATACTGATTAATATGTTTATGTATCCAGTTGAATGAATTGGTCTCAAAATTCTGGACTGGTTATTGTACGAAGTTGCGTAATAAGACGAAACCCAGTCAGCAGGAAACGAGACTGTTGTGTAATCAATGTATTGACTTGCCTAACAAGGTTTGAGTTTATTTATGGTGTAGCCGGGGCGGTTGGGCAGCCTAGTG